GAGGTTGAAGCGAACATGGATCCATTGGGTGATCCCAAGCATTTTCGCTTTTCTTTTCGTAGAAGGATTTTCCAGTTGCAGGGATACCATTTTTATTGAAGGGGGGTACCTTTTAAAAATGGCAGTATACCTTATTTTATCATTACTTATATATTTATATTCTTACAACCCATATTGTTAAATGATAGTATCCCCAAAAAGTATAAAAAAATATGATGGCATTTGCCAAGCTAGGATCTTTTTTTTGTTTGCCGCATCCACTTACAATACACCTCTTTTTGAGAAACCCAAATATAATGTAACTAGGTACAACATCTACTAAAGATTGGAATCACATGGCTTCAAGTTTGTGGATAAGAAAAACCATTTTCACATCTTTTCCTTCCCCTCAGCGGCACAGCTAGGGTAGAGACCTCGTCCCTTCCAGGCTCCACTAGCCAGCTGCTGGATTCACCTCCCCTTGGTCTGCTAGTGGACGGAAGAGGAATCTCACTGCCTCAGCTCCGGTTAGTATTTTAGGTTAGGGGGTTCTAGCCCACGCAAGGGCGGCGCTCAGGCGGATGTCGGTGTTTCATCTCCGAGTTGGTGTTTTGGGTTTTGATCCTTCTTGAGTTCATCTCTCATAATAGAGTCGACGGAGTCCAAATGTAGATTTGTGTGGTCTCCTTGGGACAAAGAGGTTAGAATTTGTTGTCGATGGTATTTCACTCGCGCTTACTGTGACGTACCATCGGTAGCAACTGAACATCATAGCCTATTTCTCCGATTCATATGTTGGCCAAGAGAATTGCCAAAATTATGGCGTGTCGACCGTCCCCATTCATGAGTGATCTCAAGCATTCATGACAACTTGAACTTGGCATGGATGCTGCACCGTGCTCGAACCCCGACACTTTTATTCAGACCTAACATCAGAGTGGCTTCGACTTAGTGAGATGGGGATATTTGTTGTAGCTTCTTCAAAGAAGAGGCTTTCCAGAACAGAGGACTTATTTTATTCTCGATGTCCAAAGGAATTGATCGTTGCTCTTCAGTGGAGGAAGCTGAGGCTCGGGCTCTGCTCTGTGGTCTGCAGATCTTGGTGGCGCTATACAGAGGGCCTATTATTGCTGAAACTGACTGCTCTTTTCTGACGAAAGAACTTCAGCCTGATTCTTGTAACCGCTCTGCTTGCTTTTCGGTGCTTCTTGACATCAAAGAGGAGCTAAAGAAATTCCAAGGAGCTCAGGTGAGATACACAAATCGAAAGCAAAACAAGCTGGCGCACTGTCTCGCAGGCTGAGCTAGAAGTAAAGGGGACACGCAATGGATGGCTAACGTCCCGGATGACCTGAGAGTAGTGCTGGCTGCCGACTGTTTGGTTTGCCCAAGAGTAATGTAATTTTTACTCTTTCTCCTAAAAAAAGAGAAGAGGCTTTCCACCTCGGTTTAGGGATTGGATTGCCTCCCTCCTGTGCACTTCGTCCTCTAGGGTGTTGCTCAACGGAGTGCTCGGACCGACAATTAGGCATGAGAGGGGCTTGAGGCAGGGTTACCCGTTGTCACCTCTTCTCTTCATGTTGGCAACCAATTTTCTTCAACAACAACTGAACAAGGAAACTGTCAATAATGATCTTAGTCGCATAATTGGTCGAAGACCTTGCCTCCGCACCTCAGTTGATGCCAATGACACAATAAACTTTTGGTGCCCATTTAGAGGGATATTGAAAACCTTGTAAGAATCCTTTGGAGCTTTGGGGAGGGCACCGGGATTGTGTTCCGTCATTCCCATTAGGTGTGAAAATATTGTCCTCACGTTGATTCTTCAGGGTTTCCCAGCCATTCGTGCAACCGTCCTGCTGACTTACCTGGGCCTCCCTCTGTCGTTGCATCAGTTTTAGGGACTCGACTTTCAACTCCTAATTGATAAGATTTCCGCCAAACTCATTTCCTGGCATGTGAAGCATATCACGAAGGTGGTAAGATGCACTCTGATCAAGTATGTCCTAACCTCTTAGGTTATTTACGGCCTAACCTTCATTATCCCGCCGCAAGGTACAATCAATGTCATCATCAAGTTACTTCGAGCTATTCTTTGGGTTAGTACGGATAAACTGTTAAGTGGCCAATGAAAAAAATAAGGGCATCTCTAACGCCGACCCTCAAACCGTCCGAAACCATCCAGACCGCGTGATCCGGACGTGTTGTGCCATCCAACGTGAGCCTGTATCGGTCCACTCGACGGGCCAGGCGCACTTTCTCCTGCAAATCGGAGACAAAATAGGGGGCTTTGCGGACGTCTGAACAGTACCCACGCCCACTTCTGGCCATCCTAGCCCCCCAAAACCCTCATATCTCCCCCATGCGTGTTCCCGCCTGGCGCCAGCTGCCCGCATTCATGTTGTTGTAGAGCGGCTGCTCCACCTTGAAGCCAGCCCAGAGTGGACGCGACCTCTCACTGGCTCCGCTATTGAAGCGGCCCGCCGGCCATGGGCTCCACCGCTGCATGTTGGGATGAACACACCTCTCCTTGCCGCACTCAAATGCCTCCATTTAGCCCGCACGTGTGCCGAGAAATCTACTCCGGCCACACGTATGTTCAAGAGCGGGTCGGCATTAAACACAACGTTGGGCAAGCTCCTCCGGTCAGCCCGCTATTTAAACGAGGCCAGACGCCGGGCAAGAATCGTACCACAACTCCGCTCCCCCATCTCCTTGTTGTACCGTTTTCTCTACACTGTCCATGTCATCCGTGCATGAAGAGCAGTTCTCCAGCATAAAAGCCGTCTGGGTGGCCCGTCGAACTAGCCAGATACAAGCCAGGCAACTCGCCGCTCCACCTCCCTGGCCTATCCAGGCGGAACAAGTTGTTGGGGGAACGTAGCATGCAATTTCAAAAAAATTCCTACAATCACGCAAGATCTATCTAGGAGATGCATAGTGTGTCCACGTACGCTCATAGACCGAAAGCGGAAGCGTTAGCTTAACGCGGTTGATGCAGTCGAACGTCTTCACGATCCAACCGATCAAGCACCGAACGTACGACACCTACGAGTTCAGCATATGTTCAGCTCGATGACGTCCCTCGAACTCTTGATCCAACAAAGTGTCAAGGGAGAGTTTCTTCAGCACGACGGCGTGGTGACAGTGATGGTGATGTGATCCGCGCAGGGCTTCGCCTAAGCACTACGACAATATGACCGAAGTAGTAAACTGTGGAGGGGGGCACCACACACGGCTAAGAGAACAATTGATATCCTTTGGGGTGCCCCTGCCCCCGTATATAAAGGAGGAGAGGGGAGGATGCCGGCCCTAGGGGGGCGCCAAGTGGGGGGCGACTTGGACTCCTAGTCCTAGTCTACCACATCCCCTTCCTTCTTTCGGAGGGGGGAAGGGGGAATGAGAGGGAGAGGGAGAAGGAAAGGGGGGGCGCGCCCCCTCCCCTTGTCCAATTCGGACTACCCATGGGGGGGGCGCCACCCCTTGTGGGCTGCCCTCT